TGACCCCAAATCATTTGATAAATTGACCAAATCTACATGCCCAAATCGAAATCGCCGACCGCTGAGTCCGACTTCCCCTCTCAATGCCCATTGAAGTCGCGACCTCCAACCATGACCACCGATCATTGACCATTAGAAATATGTTAAAAAATTTAATTATGGTACAAAACAGAACAAAATTGAACTCGACCGGTTCCATAATTATATTTGGACCTGACGATTCCATTTATTAAATACCCAAAAATTTTGGTTCGGTTCAGTTCTTTTCCGAACCGAATGAGACCGGACCGAATCGAACCATATACAGCCCTAAGTTTTACACGAATGTAAATTTCTTATTTTGGTTCAATACGTGGAAATAAGTCCAATTTCTTGATGGTTTGGTATGATAACTATTTTTGAAGCTTTTGAGTTATATGAATCAAATTTATATTAACTTTTGGGTTTGAGCTCTGTGGGTGAAAGATTCAGCAAGTAATTGGATGTAAGATTGAAAGTTAAATAAAGTAACCAATTCAAGTGAGGAATGGTGCCAACTGATTATGGTTTTGGTATATGTACAGTGGCTGAAACTATTGGAGTGTGAATTACCTAATTACATAGCTTTATACAAGTGTGAATCTGGGAAGTAGTAAAATGATGAAAGGAAAGAGATGAAATAAAGTTGGTATAGCTATGTGTATTTTAATGATATTAATTGAAATTATGAAGTTGGGATTAAAGAAGAAATCTTCAGTAAGTCGTAAACAAATCAGTTGGGGAAACAGGAAAAAATGGATTTGAGGATTTTTTTTTTTTTCCCATTAGTAACTTTAGACTGAAATTGGCCAGAAAAGTTCAGGAAATGAGGTCAATGTCGGACAACGTACCATCTGAATTAATCATCAGCAGGATATTGTCCAGTCAGTGGAAAAACTTATTTTTCAGAAATAAATTGTTACTGAATTTATATCGGATTAGAAAGTTAATTATTTTATATAACTGGTTTAAAAGCATGATTTTTCAGAATCAAATGGATTTCATAATATTTATTAAATTTATACTATATTATAAAGTTAATTATTTGAAATATTTGATTTGACAGCATGATTTTCAGAATCAAACGAATTTTATAGTCAATTTTTTAAAAGTTAAAATTCAGTTCAATTAAATCATTTCTCTAGCATATTATATTCATATTATATGTTTCAGCATATCTAAAGTCATTTAAAAAAGAAAAACACCAGAAATTACCCATGTGATTTTACCACAGTCTGCACTGGTGTGAATGTGTTTCCACAATGTATGACTTCATATGGTTATTTTATCTGATATGCACTAGTGTGAATGTGTTTTCACGGTGTATGATCAGTTATGGTGATTTTACCTGCTCTGCATCGATATGAATGTGTTTCTACAGTGTATGACTAGATTATCAGAGGTCTTTGGAACCCACTCTCGTACACACATAGGCTTTGTGCCGTGTACTAAGGTGATTAGTCTTTGGGGTAACTCTGCGTACATATGACCAAATTATCATATTTGAATGGCTTTGCCTTGTATATCGAGATTACTCTGTACATGAGTAATGATATTCATTGGGTACTTATTGGAAAAAAAGGATTTTTTGTGACTCTTTAGTATATCATATTATATTTATTCAGTTGTAGATTCACAAATTTTCTCAGATAATAGTTCATTTCAGAATATAGAATTCAACTTATTTTGTTACAGAAATACGATTTTAACTTACAAAAATGACAGTTTTACAAAGATTTTTGTTGATACCAAATTGTCTATACTCGACATATTTTACGGTTGGTTATTCAGAATAAAGAGTAAGAATTTTAAGATTTTAGCATGTTTCAGTTCTAAAAGAAATTATCAGGATTTGGAATTTAAGAATTTTAAGATTTTAGCATGTTTCAGTTCTAAAAGAAATTATCAGGATTTGGAATTTCTTAAAACTATAAGAAAATAAATCAGATTTTTCAATAAATATGTATAAATAGAAAAAGTATATGTATTTGCGAACTATCCACTCTCTAAATTACAAGCTCATAGATTTTGTTACATTTTCCCTTAACAGGTAGTAGCTGAGTTGAGTAGCTTTGAAGCCTGTCGATCTACCAAGTTGAGTCGCACACATTGTCATTAGCTGTATGACTTATTTTGTTAGTTTATTTAGTTCATATTTCCTTTGGAGTACATGTTACTTTTGTCAGAAAAGTTTATCATGAGCTCACTGCATATTTGATATTTTTAGTACATTTGAGGACTTTTGGTTGTAAAGCATAGTAAATATCGGTTTGCCAGTATTTTATTTTTAATAGTTTGTATTTGAGGAACTGGTGTACTCGATTTTCAATTACATGAACAGGTTTGAGAAAATTGATTGTTTTTATTCAGATGGTTTTAGTTCATATTTCAAAGGAAATTCTGTCAAATTTTCTTCAAAAAAAAAAAAAAAATTGTCACAGTCAAAGCAGGTCAAGATTGCCTTGGTGGCGGGTCGGCATCTATCATCGGCTCACGACATGTGTCGGGTCCATTAGGGTGATTTGGGACGGGTCATGTCATTCCCTGTATTTCACGAAGCTTAGTGTCGATAAATTTGATTGCTGGAAAATCATTATAACAACTTTCTTAGTTTTGATTGCTCGACGTAGCTTTTCTTAACATGAACTCAAGAATTCAGAATAGACATCTGAAGTAGATGTGAGTACTAAGAATCTAAAAGAGCTCGACTGCAAGGGAATAAGGATGAAGATTTGGCGGTTGGGAATAGAAACGGGTGCCAACATTCCAAGTGGGTCATGGAGTAGGTCTCATGAACAAATGAAATTTTGTTAGAACTACGAATTGGATTTGAAATCAAGTTTCAAGAATTATATATTTCAGATGTCTTGACTATAAATCATACCCGTTTTGTTGGAATTACAAGGGATGCTCCCTGTATTCTGAGTAAACTTTTGCCTAAAAATCGTGTTATTAAATACACCCCCAACTTTTACATACAAGTAGAGGTGTAAAACAGGTCGAACTAGACCAGACCAACATGGCCCGCTTTATGGGCAGGGCAGACATTCTGGGCCAGGTGAAAATCGTAACGACTCGCCTAGGACCACAAAGGCTCGACCCACTTTTAGACCACAAACGTGGAGATTGTTGGAAATTTATTTAATCATGTACAGCTGAAATAAAACAATTTTCAATTCCCAAACGAGGATTTGCAATGTGTTTAGATAGAAACTGTGATTAGAATTATATCTTTGATGAATTCTACAAACTCTTTTGCTTTTTCTTGAACTCCAATGATCACGATCTGCAATCCAAGCTGTCCAATTGTCCAGCCTCCAATGGTGATCCACACAGAGAACAAGAATGACGGCTAGGGTTT